TCTTTCTTCTAGCTTCATCTGCTAATTCCAGTGCTTGTACAAGAACAATATCATCATTAGAGGAGAAAATGGTCAGAGGAGGGGTATCTGGATCAGGGAAGTTATGCTGGAGAGGATCATAGTGGATGCCATCATAGATAAGCAGAACCCTTTTGGTATATCCTGCATCTTCCCCAAAACGATCGATTCTTACTGTCTGTGTATCTACTACACATATTTCACATTGATAAAATTTAGACAAAATCGATATTTCAATTGCTCCCCCCCAAGTATCATCCCTTTTGATCCAGTCGCAGTACTCTTGATTTGTTTTTCCCAGTATTGCCTCACTATAGAAGTCTGGATCACTTGCTACAATTTGTGCTATGAGGCGTCTCATCTCAGGGGCACAAGCTGGATTCAAGACTCCTCCTTCAACGACATAGTATACACTGGTAAAGAGGCAAGAGTTGTCTGCTGGAACCGAGGTTCTGGTAAGCACAGGCAAAGTTTCCCTGACATAACTAGGAGCACCATGTTTTGGAAATGCAGGCGAAGGTTTGGGTCTGGTTTGGTCTTCTTCAACGATCAGCATGTCGCCTGTTAAAAATAAAACAAATCCAGAACTGCAGAGAAATTACAGATGAAATTGGATGTTTACTAGTCAAGTCTTTAAATTACAAAGCAAAGGACTTACAAGAAACTACTTCAGGCGTATCTCAATTTAGTGAAGAGGCCTGGGTATACACACCTTTATACTTTCTTTAAAAGATGCATTTCAAGGAATAGATGATGTGTTTCAAGCAGCAGAGTGCCTGCCTAGCCAGTGTGAGCCCTAGCACCAACAACAAAAAAAACCCCACAAATGCATTTCAAAACCAAAATTTCCTTCTATGCTGACTGCATCTAAAAACACAAGTCTTCCAGGTGTTCATCATAGACTAGGCCACTAGGGGGTTCTCCTCCAAAAACTCCACACTGCCTACCCTATTTAGGGTTTACAGGATCTTTGACACACAATGGAAGCTTTTAATTGTCAACGCTGCCACTCAAGTTTTAATTCCGGGCAGAAAGAACTGCTGTTTGTTATTACTTGAAAGGGCTTTTCGTGGATGTTTGAAAGCTAACCTTACAATAAACAGATCTGTCAAGTTAAGTATATATCAAAGGGACTGCAAAAATCAGTCCCTTTGATATCGGGAAAGGACAGTAACAAAAAAGCACCCTGCACGATTCAGACCTGCAGATCAGAATAGGGAAAAAGAACCATCGAGACGGAGACTCAGGTCCTGCATTTTTGTGAATTCGGAAAACAAAAATGAATGGGACAGTTTCGAGGTAGATCTGAAAGCAGATTGGGGAAGGGGGACGCCATGTGTGAAGACAAGGAGTTGCTAGACATCTGCTCCCGCCTCCATCGCTGTTCTCTATTCCTTGCTCAGTAACTCACCCCTGTCCTCCAAGCCCCCGGCCGACCCATAGCCACCTTGCTTGGGCTGCTTCCATCTTCTCCCCTCATTACCCCTCAACCCCAGAACTTCCCCCGGGTCCCGCCCCAATCCCTTTACCTGATTGGATGGGCAAGTCCCCGAGAATGGTATCCCCGTTGCTGAGATCCAGACACTCGGGCGGAAATCCGACGAGGATTCGCTGACCGCCAGGAGAGATCCCGGTGATGGCGGCAATTTGGCCCTGGAGTTCCCGCAACCGGGTCCGGCTGGACAGCCCCTGCAAAACATGGGTGCCGTCCTTGGCCTTGCAGCGGAGCCGCCACATGGTGTCGGTCCGGCCGCCCACAGGCCGGCCACCCGCGGGGCCAGTTTTGGTCCCGGCTGCAGGTTGGGAGACGCAGCCAGGGCAACCAGCGGTGGGGTGGACTCCAAAATGGCCACCCTTGGCAGGTCCAAACATCGCGAGAAGTTGCCGCTGTTACAATTCTCGCGATACTTTGGCCCGGACTCGGCTCTGGGCACTTAAATAAGCGCGAATTCTCTTAAAGCTACAGCTAACTTTTCCGGCTACCAGGACGAGTCAAAGGATGGTTTGTAGGTATTCGTGAAGGACTGCTGTTCTCGCTACCTGTACGGCGAGTGAGGCGCCCTCGGCGTCGGCAGCATATATGCTCAAGGGAAGAGGGCGGGGGAAGCAGTTCCTGAATCAAGTAGGGTGGAATGTAGCCTTGTATTCCGGTCGGAAATGATTAAATTAGGCCTTCCAAACCACACCAGGAGAAACAGAATCATAGTCGAGAACGCAAACGAATGCCAAGCATAGTCAGTGAGTCAAAGGACCTGTCAAAAACAATCAGAGACTCGTGACTAGTCTCCTGGCTGCACCAAACATTGACTCATTAGGGTTAAGGGGGCAGACGACTTGCCTTTCCACCTCCCTGGGACTGTAACCTGTAAATGTACATTTGCCACATCAGAAAGCACAGTGTGAGGTCAGCATCTGGCCATAGGGCAATTGCCTCATTCAGGTGGTGGCTGTATAGAGGAGGAATGTAGAGGGCTAACTCATGTCATCCGAATTCAGTTCCTGAATATATAAGTATGAAGAATTCATTCCTACCTTCCGTATAACAAGTACTTATTGTAGTCGAGAGCGGTGGGGAGTAAGAGACAGATAGCCATGGGATAATCTTAGGTTATGTGACCATTTTCAACCCCGTATGTCTAGAACTTGAGGCTGTGCTTTGCAAATAAAAAGTGTTCAATAAATACCGAATGCATAAAGACAGGGGTTAAAGACACAGAGACGGCAAGACGCTATAACACGCTGGGAGTTGTATAAAGCTGCAGAATATTTGAACTGTTTTGAAAGATGGTTTACTTCCCAGGTGAAGAAGGTATAAATTTGCCTTTGAAATTCATGCTTATTATTTTGTCTATCCTGAATTTAGAGCAAGAAATCCCACCTGCCCAGAGGATTTGTCAATAGAATAACGCATCAAACGGGCGTGCTGGGGCAAATATGAAAGGTGTAATTCACTTAGAATGTGCAAACTCCACTAAAAGCCTCTTTCTATGAATCAATTATAGGAAATCTTTGCATCTTTTCACACCTTTCAGCACTCAGTCTTTTGCTGGCGGAGTTTTCCTTCCCTGTTCTTCAAGGTGACTGCAATAGGTGATATTGGGTCCAAGTAGGACGGGCCAAAAAGGAAGGTGGTCGGAAGTGTCCTGAGGTGTACGGATGGGTACAGGAGTTCAGGTCTGGTACAGATCGCAGTGGACTTAGGTTGGCAGCGTCTGACCTGTGCAAAGGGCACGCAAACACCCTAAGGCGTAATCAGTTCAAATACTGCGGCAGCTTGCAAAGCACTTTTGAAAGCTTATGTTCCAATTTATGGAAGTAACGAAGTCTAGCGGGGATTCAGGAATGAAGGCGTTAATTTTCGCAGTGTTTTCATCAGTCACTCCTCAAGACAGCTCCAATAGTCTGCTCTCGCGAGAATAACAAAACACTTGAGACTTTTTATTAACCCCGCCCCCAGCCCCACTAGTTACCAAGCAACAATGCAACCAACCTCTACAGTGCTGGGAGACTTGGGAGCCGGCGATCTTTCTCCTTCACAGCTCCATCTTCCTTCTGTAGGTTGGGTCTGTGGTTCCGCCTGGGACCCGCCCCTTGGGCCCTACAGGTGCCTCATTGGGCGATGATTCTCTCCAGGTAAGGGCTGACGCGTGGGTGGGCGGAGCCAAGAGGGGCCACGTGACTTGCCGGGGATTGGAGTGCCCAGCTCCCAGCCGCCGTCTGTCAGCTCGGGTCTGCGGCGTTCCGGGGAAGCGCCCGGGCCACAGCCCTGGGGGATCTTTCGATCGGTCACAGGCTAGGGTGAGCCACAGCTGTGCAGCGTCTGGGTGTCTGGGCCGGCGGGACGGATGAGGGGCTGTGTGCGGTGAGACCAGGTGCTGGGCAATGATGTCTAGCCCTTTTGGGAAGTGCCGGCCCCAGCGCAGTACCCCGCGCGTGGACTAGCTGGGACTGGGAGAGACAGCTGGTGTTGGGGTAGGAAGGATTTGTGCGATCAGCAGAGGAACCATGCGAGGCTTTGAAGCAGCGGGACCGTATGTCCTCAAGAGTCCTTGGGAATCTGGGCTTGGGGAGTGAGCTTGGGGCTCTCCCACCCCACGTAGTATCAGGGTTTAGCCTTATTTTGTAGGTAACCTTGAGGAAATCATTTATTTCCTCTGAGCCCCAGGGTAAGGATAGGGACAAGGGCACATTCAGAGCAGGACTTGGGAATGAGAACGCAGAGGAGAAATGGTGACATGATAGGAGTGTCTCAGAGTTCAGGAACAGTTTTACTGTCAGGGAACACAGTTCAGCTCGTCACTTTGAGATTTCCTTCCAGTTTCAGGACCGAGTCTTATCTTTGGATTAGAATTGCTGTCTTGATAATGTACTTGCTCTGTCCCCACCACCACCCACCCCAAATTGCCACCACTATTCTCCCCAGATTGATAAAATTGTAGTCTGAAGTTAAGAAGAAACTTGAACAAGCCATCTAATTTGGTTAACCCCAGTTTTTCGATCTGTAAAATGGGAAGAAGTAACAATGATACCAAAATCTAACATCTTAAGTGATTAATGGAAGATTGCAGAAGAATAGATATGTGCATGTAAACTCCTAAGTCAGCAAATAAATACAAAATTCAAGTGCATCTCTCTTTATAGGTGAGGAAACGAGGCCCAAGGAGGCTCATGATTTATCCAAGAACAGGTACTATTAACTGGGAGAAGGAGGGCTGGACTTGACTCTTGGCCCAGGTTCTTTCACTTATACCACCCTGATCCTCTGCACTGTTTTGAGGGACATCTTCCTTCCCTTCCTTGCATTATTTTTCTCCCTTCCAGGTGCCTCCTGAAGAGCTACCATGTCTGAGACTTGTGCATCTTCCTCAGAAAACAGCAACAGAAGCTGTAAACTCAAACCCCCAAATCTTCGAATGTCAGAAAAGAAATGTTGTGAGTGCTGGAGAATATAAGGGGCTGCCATCTCAGGATTTTATTTTGGGAATATAGTTGTAATCTTAGACTCTGCTGCTTGGGAGGAGAATGAGAAATAATTCTTTGACATGGGAATTTAAAACAGTTCCCAGGGGGCCATTTCTGGCAGGAATAAGTAGACTTAAGTGAAATGTCTGTTTTTGGGGTTAGACTGCTATGTGGCTGGGCAGTTTCTTAACACTTCCTTTGGGAGCATCTGCAACTATTGTTCACACAAGAAGGTAGAGTAGCAGGGTGTAGGCCTTACTTGGGGTTGTTACTGTTTTAGTTTTCCTTTATCTGTTGTGCTAAGTTCTGGGAGGGTGTTGCTCTTTGCAGAAATTGCTGGTAGAAGTCAGTGCTGTCTTCTCTCATTCTTACAGACCTCACGGGACTGAGCCCCTACATGTGACATCTCACAGTGTCTTGGGTACCTACCTTACCCTCTTATCAATTTAACCTTTGTGCTTTGCAAACTATTTCACAGGAGTATTTTCTTTTTCTTTCTTTTTTTGAGAGAGGGTCTTGCTATGAAGCCCAGGCTGGCCTTGAACTTGCCATTCTCCTACCCCAGACTCTCCAGTGCTGTGATTACATGTATATGCCACCATGTTTGGTACACAGGAACATTTTCCTGCCAGTCTTTTAGATGTAGACAGCTTGAGGGACTGCAGGGGGATGAAACATCATTTCTGTCCCCTTGCATCTGCATTCTTAAGCATCATTATAGGCTGCAGAGCTCCCCCAAAGTTGGGCACATTGGTCTCAGATGTTTCTGGGAATCTCAAGGAATGCTAATCTTGCCTGTGTTTCTGGACTGCACCTTTCCTTTGGAACCCTGTCAGTTCTTCTCACTTCAGTAGTTATATATATCAGCAGGTGGAAGGAGCTGACAAACATGAGACCGGGAATTGTTTCATGTTGAAAGCTTTCCCCAGAGCCTCGACCTTGACCTTGATGTTACGCTCTTGTCAGTTTCATGATTCATGACCACAATCTGTCTTTGCTGAGCACCCACAAGGCCCCTGGACAGAAGCTGCTGGTTTGGATGTGATGCTGGGGTCGGCACACCTACAATTAGGGTCCTTTCTCTGCCAGGGCAGGAAGCCATGTACAAAGGGCAGAATGCCCCACAAGGGAGAACTAGTGTTGCACAATGCTTAAGTGTCATCAGGCTGCCTGGATCTGAACCCTGGTTTTACTCTTTCCTAGTTCTGTGCCCTTCAACAAGTTACTTATCCTCTCTATGCCTCAGTTTACTCCTTAATATATAAACCTCTTTTATTCTTTCTTTCTCTTTATCCCTTTTTTTTTTTTTTTTGAGGCAGGGATCTATGTATCCCAGGCTGGCTTGAAACTCTTCATCCTCCTACCTCAGCCTCTTGAGTGCTGAGATTACAGACTTGTACCATCATCACAGCTGGCTCAGTTTACTTCTTTATAAAGTGAGGGATACTTGTCTCTCCCTCAGGAGTGATGTGCGGATTAAAAGAACAAATACAGCAAAGCACTTAGAAGAGTGTTGGACATAGCTTATATGTGTAATTTTTCACAGGTGACTGTCTGCCTCTTGTATTTATTCCTGAAACATTGTATATAAATTGAATTACATTTAAGTGCTGGGAGCTCACCTCTGCCCCCTTTCTTTTTCTTTTTTTTTTTTCTGCAGTGCTGGAGTTTGAACTCAGTGCCACTCCTACTTGAACCACACTCCCAGCTCTTTTTTGCTTTAATTATTTTTCCAGATAGGTTTTCACTCTTTTTGTCTGGGCTGGCCTCGAACCATGATCCTCCTCACAAATAGCTAGAATGACAGGTACGAGCCACCACACCCAGCCTGGGATCTCACCATTTAAAAGAGCCCTGTGAAGGATTATTTTTTCGGTAAAGAGTGTTTTCTCCTCTGTGTGACAGTATTATAGCTCAGATTTGGTGATTCATGATGTCCCTCTTAAAGCGGTGCAGTCACATTTCTATAACCTGTGTGATCCCAAAGAGTAGAGAGCAGAGAGGGGAGCAGAACTGATCTTTGTGGGTGTTTCTGACTGTGGGATGCCCATAGGCAGTCTTTCTAGCTCCACCTTATTCTCTTCTTCTACTTGCCCTCCTGTCTCTTCTGCATTTTTGAAGGCTTTTAATAAAGGAAGCAGGAATTCCGGGTCTCTTTCACATTTTCTAGATTCTCATTCTTGCTCTGCCTCTAATTTCTCTTTTCTAGCCTCCACTCTTTTCTCTAAGCTGCTTTTTCTACCCAACTGGAGGACTCTGGTTGTCTTGAAACCAGTATCATTCATGCATTCCACTTTCCTCACCTCACAGATGGACTGTGGGACTATAGTGGCCATACTCAAAGGAGAAAACAGTTATGTGAATACATGTAGTTTATTTCGTTTTTCTTTGCTCTGCTAGAGGCATACATTAGTTTGATTCTTTCAAATGTCTTACTAGGGTATATCTTATTTATGAAAGTAGGTTCATACTGTAAGTATTCTGTTCTGCCACTACATCCTTTATGACAAGCTCACTGCTTGTGGACATCTTTTCCACGTTGGGAAATCTAGGCTTAGAGTTGCCTCATTTTCGTTCTGAATGTACCTTGTTACAGGCTCCTGGCTGGTTAGTGTTCACACCAGGAGTTGATATATATTAATAGCTTAACTGCTATTCCCGTGCTGCTAATTACACCTGTGCTGGCTAACTTTGAGTCTGGGAAGTGATTGGGCTGAGAACTTCAGGGCTGAAGAATGACTTTAGGGAACCAAAACCTCCAAAGGAGCATTATTGGCCTGTCAGCTGCTCCAGGGATGGGGTGCAGAGGGAGTACTGGCTGAGGTGTCTTTAAGGTGCTCAGATGACTGGTTTCAGGGTTCTCTGGAAGAACTTGGGGGAGGATTTCTGCATTCTGTTTCTTTTCCCTTTTCCTCCCCTCTCCTTCTCTTCCTCCTCCTACTTCTTCTGTTTTAATTTTTTTGCTACTTTGAGTACATCTAGTGCAGACAAATTCCTATATGTATCTTACCCAAATACAACAGCAGTATGTGTTCATGAAAATTCAAATAATAAAGAAAAAGAAAGTGAAAAGTAAAAATCTTTTATAATCTCTCCTATCTCTACTCAGTTAGATTCTTTTAGGCATCTTATTCTGATGTATCCTATCAAGCAACAGAGATTCATCCTACACACACTTAGTTCTCCCATTTCCATTTTAAAAACTTACTCTTTTTTCATTGTGGTTCGCACTGATAGGCATTTAAACCATTCTCAGTTTTTCATTATCAATAATGAATGCTTCAATTAGCATCTTTTCACCTTTGCACATGTGTGTCAACAATTTTTCCTACAGAAATAATCGGAGAAATGACAGACACATTGGAAATTTGATTCCTATTAGTAATTTGCTCTTTTAAGCTCTATATTTTAAGCTGTTTCCATTACTTTAGAATATCTGATGGAAGCTGGCCATTATAAAATGTGTCTTACTGGTTAACTAAAGTGTTGGCTTTCTTAGAGTTTGGCTGCACTTACATGAACTTGGTTATTTTATGCCTATCAGTTAAACAGCAGAAGATTATCAGTTTTTATGACTTCTGATTAAGAAAAGTAAGATATCACTAATGAAACATGCTTTATGGGCTGTATATGTCAAAATATTGATCCTTTCTAGAGTTAATAATGGAAGAAGACCTTGGCCATGGAAAAGCTAGAAACCATTGCTCTCCTAGACCATCCTTCTAGATGAGCATGGTGAACATAACTTTGTGTACCATGGGAGTTGTTTTGTCAAGTGCTGACACAAGGCCCAAGAGCTGGCAGCTGGGACTGGATGGGTAGTCATTAAACCAGGAATCTAGTCAAGAGCACTGACCTTGACTTTCTACTGTGAGACTGTGGGCAAAGATCTTAACTCCTCTGGACTTGAGTTTTTACATTTAGATGGGGGAAGTTGAAAAGCCCTCATTTCATCTAAACATGCTTATGAAGAGAAAATGAGTTTAAGATTAAGAAAATAAGTTAGAGACTGTATAAAAAAGACAGAAAAGAATTTCAGTACTGAAACAGATTTCCTTTGTATTTCAAGAGATGAAGTTACATTGTTTCTGGAATTAATCACTGTGAAGTATCTTCCTTTCAAATTAAGGTAGTGGGGGTGGTTGTGTGTTTTTAACAGGCAGGACAGAATGTTCTTAGCTTTGCTGATGTGGCAGTTTGATGTAGGTGTGGTAGGTTTTTTTACTTGGAAAATGAGAAGCCCTGGCTGCTGCAGGGTGTGTGTGTGTGTGGGTGTGTGTGTGTGGGTGTGAATCTGTGCTGGGTGGAGGCAGGAGGTGTGGTACTACAGGACAAGGTGTAGAGTCCCAGGTTTTCTTTTGTTCCTAGCTTTCTCTGTCCACTATAGTAAACACTGAACAGCTGGCTCCCTGGTGGCCCTCAGAGCAGCTTCTAAGTGGCCATTCATTTTAAGCTTCAGGAAGTGTAACAGCACCTTTGGGGGAAGGACCTAATGGGCTGGAAAGTGTGGACAGAGCAGGCCTAAAAGTGCAAGTAATGAGCTGCATCCTGGGGGATACAGGAGGGTGTGTGCTCAGCTGGAGAACCTGAAGACTCAGGGGATTTTACCACTTCAGCCTGAGGCAGCTGATGCCAGGCAAAGACTGCCTGCCCATTAGGGATCAGTGATCGGGAATGAATGCCCTCCAAGGCAGCAGGGTAGTGTTGTTTGCCTCTCAGCTCTCTTTGGACAGAGGTAAAAACCACTTTGTCTTGCTCCATTACCTCCTTGGAGGGGCTTCTGCCCAGAATCAGGATTTCCCCACATGTACAGGGGGTAGAGGACTAAAAGCCCAGCCCTCTGGCCCAAGTCTGGGCATCTCCCTACTCTCTCACCACAGGGCCACTCTGGTTTCCTGGTACTTCTTGCCAGCCACCCCTCTGAAACTTCCTTTTGAGGTCAGTTCTCTCCCTTTGCTCTTCTACCCACTTCACCATTGGAATCTTGTCACATTTCTTTCTCAAAAGATGACTGATTAATTTCTCATGCAAGAACCTCCATTCTACAGAATAGTTTCGTAGCTTTATCAGATCAACTTGGTTTTGTAGAAAACCAGTCACAACTTGCAGGGCCCCTTCTAGAAAGTGGTATTGGGAAGCAGAAGGTCAAGATGTTTCTTTCCTGCTGGGAACAGCTGGCAGAGCCTGAGCCCTCCCTGAAGATCCTTAGTTTTCATCTTGGGGTGTACATGCAGGTCCTTCTGACCTCTCCTCTGCTGCAGGATGGGTAGGGAGAAATCAACCCTGTGAGCAAGCCTGTGAGGGGCCTCTTTTGGAGAAAAGCAGTCTCTATCTTGGCTCAGTGTGTGTCCTTAGGCAAGTCCCCTGACCTCTAAGCCCACCTATCCAGTGAGACTCATCTCTGCAAACGAGCATTCATGAAATTAGTTAGTTTACTAAAGGAAGGGTGGACCAACAATTCTTTCTGCTTTTCAATTGCCTTGTTTTTTTATGGGCTGTTGAGGCAGGCTGGCCCTGATGCCTGTGAGCTAGCTCTACCCTGAAGCTTCCTAAGGTCTATTGAAACCTGTATCAGATAGTCTTTGCCCACTAAATCTCATCATGGTCAAGAAGTTCTGACTTAAGGAGGAGCTCAT